GTTCGGACGACTGTACTGTCAAATCGTGCAAATTCGCCCCCCTTGAAGAACCCTGCAGCAGCAAAATCGGGCCATTCCACTGTCAGATCGGGCCATTCCACTGTCAGATCGGGCCAGTTCACTGTCAGATCGGACCCACTGCACAAATTTGCCCCCCTTAAAGAACCCTGCAGCAGCAAAATAGGGCCATTCCACTGTCAGATCGGGCCACTCCATTGCAAAATCGAGCAAATTTGCCCCCCCGTGCAGACCCTTGCAGCAGCAAATCTGGCCAACCCTTGCAGACCGAAAACGGAAAACCCTGTGTGGCTCTCAGATCGTCAATCCAACGGCCCAAATGACAAAGGGCCGGTTCGAGGTTCCGCTGCATGCGCGATGCACATTGGTGAATGTAGTGAAGTGCAGAAATGAGGTCTGCAGAGGGGCAAATTTTCCATTTTGCCATGATTATGCCGTCCCAGGATGTTGATGCTGCTGTTTTTTGCGCTGAGGCATGGTTGATTAGTGCCTTTTCTGGCTTGAGGTTTACTGCCTGCGCTTCATGCATTGGTGGTGGAAGCATGTGCATGATAGAGAGAAGGGAGGGAGGAGGGGGGGGGGAGAGCGGGAGGAGGGGAGGGTGGAAAATGTTGTGAAAGTGTTGCTGTTCTCCGCTGTGGAGTGGTGGACTTGTATTTTGTGCATTTGACATTTTGCTGTTTCTGCTTTATTATGTACTAACGAACTACCGTCTTCACCCGAGTATAGCGCCCGGTCATTATAGCTGTATTTGGCACAACTTTCATCCCAGATACGGCGATAATTACCGGGCGTTCTATTCGGGTGAAGACGGTAGGTTCAGGAGGGAGGAGATTTTTGGTTGGGAAGAAAAGGAAATTGCTTTGCTTGTTCCGTGTCGATAAGCAAGATAGGGATGCTGTTCTCTGTACTGGGTGGAGGAGCTTGACTGGTTGCACTTTGTTTTGAACTGTTTGAGATTTTGCTGCGTGTGCTTCGTGGATTATGGGAAACAAGTTTACTGAGAGAGTTATGGTGGTGGTGATGGTGGTGGTGGTGGTGGGGGGTGTCGAGGGGGAGGTGGGCAATTGCTGTGGGCGTGTAGTGTCAAGATAGTGCTGTCGCTATTCTCTGTGCTGGTGGGTGGTTGAGTGGTGGCATTTTTGCAGTTTGAGATTTTGCTGCCCCCTCTTCATGCGTTGGTGAAGCATGTTCAGGAAGAAGGTCTGCAAGGGGGGAAATTGCTGAACCTATTGCACTCCAAGTGCCATTGCGGCATCCCTTCACTCCAGGCATGCATCCAGAGGTAGGGCTGCGGCTGCTGCCAACTCTGCTCCTCCTGCTCCTCTTGCTCTCAATGTGCACTGGTTGGGGAATCATATACCTGCAGGCTCTTAGTGCAGTTTGCTGACATCCACCACTGCACAGGGTGTTGTATGGAATCTCCACACCAATGCTCTCTTCCCCCCCCTGCAACTCCCGTCTGCGCCCCCTTCCCCCCCTCCCCTCCTCCCTCTCTCCCTCCTCCTCCCTCCTCCTCCCTCCCCCTCTCTCTCGTATAAGTTTAGTAGAGTCTTTAGACACATGTGATCCTTCTTTGTCAACGAAAGAACTATACCGATCAGGTATGTAAGGCGAAGGTAGTGGGGCAAGCGACCACCCAACCCAGCCTTGTGGGGTGAATGGTGTGCACATACCTCACACGTAGCTGGTGATAAACAGATCACGAGTTCGAATCCTTGTGAGGATACCAATCATGTTAGGGGAAGACAAGGAAAGTAGAACAGAAGGCGAGGAACCAAGGGAAGGGAAAGAAGAATGCACGGAGCCTAGTTATTAATAGATGAGATGATCACCAATTGATGAGCAGAATGCGGCTGTCTTCAGCCGAATAGAACAGACGGCCATTATCACCGTATGTAGACTGAAAGTTGCCCCAAGTACAGCTATGATGCCCATGTATTCTAGTCAGGTGAGGACGATTGTTGTTCCGTGAGAGAGATTTGCTTCTCCTTTCTGGGGAAAGGGTTGGCAGCTTGTCAAAGAAAAGGGAAAAAAAGGAGGATGAGAAGGAAGCTGGATAATATGGGGACGTCACCCGGGCGTGGTTAATTAAATGGTTTTGTAAAATTCTCTTCATCGCTTCCATTGAATATACAGTGCGCTGAACGAACATGAGTTGGATGTTAGGAAGAAAACATGAGACCAATGCTTGCATGCAAACTATGACCTCTCTCTCTCTCTCTTTCTCTCTTTCTCTCTCTCTCTCTCTCTCTCTCTCTCTCTCTCTCTCTCTCTCTCT